TGATGAATATAAAAATGGTTCACAGGAACCTTCAAAGTGTATTTTTATGACACTGTAGTAATTAATTACTTTTCTCTTGGTTTAATCTTGGCTCTATTTTCAATTTGGGATTTTTTTTTTACTTTTTGCTTTCTGGATATAGTTCTCTCTGATGTTATTTATTTATTATAGTTATTACATGTGATACATTACTGATGACTACTGGTGTAATTGCAGGCATCTGTAATAGAATCTGCTCCATTAAATGATTTGGAGAAAAGATTAGGTAGTTTCATGTCAGTTCTCCCAGGACACTTATTACAGTTCTCAGTGGATTCAATTGATTCAAAAATTATGAGTATTAATCAAGGAATTCACAACAGCATATCCATCATTTAAGATTGTTTTATCACCCAGGAAAAATAACTCTAGTTGAAGAACAGTTAGAGAAGTACAGTTAGAGAAGACAATTATTTGTTCCATGTCACATCACCATCCTTTACAATTCTTTGTATGCTTGAAGACAAAAGGTGCTGACATTTAAAAGCCGAGGTGGCGCAGTGGTTAGAGTGCAGTACTGCAGGCTACTTCTACTGCCTGCCAGCTGCCTGCAATTTGGCAGTTCGAATCTCACCAGGCTCAAGGTTGCCTCAGCCTTCCATCCTTCCGAGATCAGTAAAATGAGCCAAATTGTTGGGGGAAATATGCTGGCTCTGGAAACCGCTTAGAGAGGGCTGTAAAAGCATTGTGAAGCAGTATATAAATCTAAGTGCTATTGCTATTATTAGGTTTAACAGATAATCTGAGTTGGAAGGGACCTTGTAGGTCATCTAGTCCAACCCCCCGCCCAAGCGGGAGACCCTACACCATTTCTGACAAATGGCAGTCCAATCTCTTCTTGAAAGTCTCAAGTGATGGCGCTTCCACAACTTCCGAGGGCAAGCTGCTCCATTGGTTGATTGTTCTCACTGTCAGAAAGTTTCTCCTTATTTCCAGGTTGAATCTCTCCTTGTTCAGTTTCCATCCATTATTCCTTGTCTGGCCTACAGGTGCTTTAGAAAATAGCCTCACCCCTTCCTCTGTGGCAGCCCCTCAAATACTGGAAGACCGCTATCATGTCTTCCCTGGTCCTTCTCTTCACTAGACTAGCCAAGCCCAGTTCCTGCAACCGTTCATTGTATGTTTTAGCCTCCAGTCCCCTAATAATCCTGGTTGCTCTTCTCTGTATTATTGATAGAGTTTCAACATCTTTTTTATAATGTGGTGAACAAAACTGGATGCAGTACTCTAGGTGTGGTCTTACTAAGGCTTTATAGAGTGGTATTAGTACTTCCCTTGATCTTGGTTGTATCCCTCTGTTAATACAATTTAGGATTGCGTTAGCTTTTTTGGCTGCTGCTGCACACTGCTGGCTCATATTTAGCTGGTTGTCCACTAAGACTCCAAGATCCCTCTCACAGTTACTGCTATTGAGCCTGGTTTCACCCAGTCTATAGGTGTACTTTTGGTTTTCCTTGCCTAAGTGTAGGACTTTACTTTTCTCTACACTCAATTTCATTTTGTTAGATACGGCCCAGTGTTCTAGTCTGTCAAGATCCATCTAGATATCGAGCCTATCTTCTTGGGTGTTAGCTATTCCTGCCAGCTTAGTATCATCTGCAAATTTGGTAAGTTCCCCTTCTATTCCCTCATCTAAGTCATTAATTAAGATATTGAAGAGTACCGGGCCTAAGATGATACCTTGTGGCACCCCACTGCTTATTTCCCTCCATGTAGACTTAGACCCATTAAGAACTACTCATTGGGTACGGTTTGCCAGCCAGTTGCGAGTCCATCTAGTGGTGGTGCTATCTATTCCACTTTTTTCTAGCTTACTAAGAAGTAGGTTGTGGTCTACTTTGTCAAGGTTTTTCTTATTGCAACAGATGTAAAATTTGCTTGATCATAAATTTCCTTGGGGAGTTGTACCTGAATCTGTATCATATAGTCTACTACACGCTGTGCTAGGATACATGCTTAATTTTATTCTACTAATCTAAGGATTTAGTTGGGATTATGCTTAGCACAGTTAAAGACACATATTTAAAAATGACCAGCTACTTTACAAAAGTATGTGAATATCTATTTTAAATATTTATATTTTATAATGTCTGAAAGTAAACAACTTTTGAGGCTAACCATCTTTATTTCATCTTTGTATATCTACAGTTGACTAACTTTAATAAGAATAATGAAAAACTTTACGGCAATGTTGCTTCTTCAGAATCTGCTAATACATTTTATGAAATTGAATTTACCTTTTCAGATAATATACTTTTTAAAACTTCAATAGATTTTAAATCTGAAGGAAGAATGAATAAAAATGTCTGATGCTGTTAAACAGTGAATTGATTCCAGTTTGCATTTCTTAATTTGGACAACTAAACCTGCTACAAAGGCAGATGGAAACAACTGCAGCAGATGTGATTTCCTTTATCTCTGTTTTAACTCTAAATTCCTGAAGACCAACATATAATGACAGAGTGCCAAAATAGAGACTATAATGGAGACTTTGCCGATTTCCTGACTACAACAAATGAAGGGAAAAATTTTATCTGTAATCAAGATATATGTTTATAATATTTTAGATCTATATTTCATATATTTTTATCTCGTGTGCTTTTTAATCAAAATGTGATGTGAATGTGCCATATGATAAATAATATACCATATGATAATAAATATACTGTTCTCCTCCTGCCAAAATATTCTAACTGACTTTAAAGTTCTTTTTAATCATTTTTAAGCAAAAATCTAAAAATCATAATTAGAGTCTATTGTCATGTTCTGTCAAAGCAATTAGAGGCCTCCAACATGGTCAAAGTCTTTCTGGTAATAAATCAGGAGGTATGAAATGAGGATGGTCCACAACTTGCTGAACCTCAACATGTTTTACCACCTTCCTGAGAGAACAAAAAACTTCTTACAGATCACGAAGAGCTTAGTTGAAGTCAATGGTTCTTGATTTTGGTTTGGAAAACTTGCTCAATCAAGTGTTTAGAATCAGCCACGACAACAACAAAAAATTACACTTGCTGACCTGTAATCTAATTAAAACCACTAAGAGGAAGAACACTTCCTCTTATATAAAGTGAACAAATTTGCCAGTGTTTCCCTGATTGATGCGCTATGATTGTAACTAGGATATAAACAAAAAGAGCCATTCAGGGAAATTCACACTATTTATGATGCATTAACAGAATGCTGATGTGTTTACAGTAATTTATAGAGAGTTTCTGATCCACCTAAGCCTACACACATGGACTGTAGCTCACACATGGTGGGAGTTTTCTCCATTTCTTTTTCTTACACACTCAAAATTTGCTCCAGATGGTCCCCAACTCTACTGAAATAGGCTATAGCTACATAGAGTTAGGAGGGTGAAGAGGCATCTGTCTTGCTAGTAATAGCATTCCATGACTGGATGATTACTACTGGACATAATACAATGTTTTATATAGTATCCACTGGGCTATAAGATATCAGTATATTTTATGCATTGAATTCCTGTGATGCAATTATAGAATGCAACTCAGTTTAGAATACTGCATCGTTTTAGAAAATATTTTCTTTTTAGGTGTATATTTGCCATAATAAAGCAAGGCCTTAAAAACTGTTGTCTAATAGAATATTGTTGAGTTTATTTCATTAATATATCACAAAAATAATACAAATCCTGGTAGGCTACAGTCAAAATACTTTTAAAAAATAAAGTATATCTCATGATTTTGACTCTTTTTATGGAGCATTTTTCCCTATTTTTAACTAATTCAAAGAGTTTGCATCAACCAGTTCTTTACATAATGTGGGGTTAATATTATCAGATGTTATTTATTTTGGGAATACTGTAATTACAATATCATAATTACAATACTGTAATAATGTACTACAAGGCATAAGCCACTATTTCTACATATTTTACTGCCCTCTAGCGGTCTACAAATGCTGCAAACTGGTAAGAAAATAAAACAGCAATGATTTATCCCAAAAATCCCATTAAAGAGAAATTATATTTTCAAAAATTCTGTAAATCATCACTGAAAATTTACCACCTTACTTCCAAAAGTATATTTTAATTGTGTTTTTTTTTAACTTAAGTCTACCTATAAGTTATTCCAACTTAAGTTGTTAAGCCTGATGCTCCTTTGAACCATCCTCAAATGAGCAACCCACTTATGGTGGCTTCGTTAAATTCTTAATAACAAGAATATTTTCAATTTGTGGACCATCCATTTTGGAAAACATAATGAACTTCACTGACTAGAAGACAAAAAGAATTAAAAGCAAATGCTGTGAAACAGGAGTTTTGCAGTCAGCCAATTATTTTTTAAAATGATAATGTGGTGGAATATAATAAGGAGGTTGATTCCCAGGAGGGAGGGGATGCATTCCAAAGGAGTAAGAGGCAATTCAGCCCAGATATTATGTGTAAGAGAAATAGGGTGAAGCCAGCCTCTCTCTAAGAGTTCAGAGTATATTATAGATGCATGTAGTAGAGTGCTCAGTCTGGCAAAATTTTGTCTACAGATGTGAAGCATTAAAGAACTCAGCTTGGAAGAATCACATGTCATTCTTGGTTTGGGGCCTGATTTTTAATACCTTTTAAGGAACCTACATATAGAAATGAAATATATGGTGGAATATAGAAATAAATAATTTTCTTAGATGAGTCAATTGATTGACTACATGCTATCAAATTGTTTTAGACTATGTGGTTGCTTGGAATTGAAAATAACTTGATGACATGTAATTAATCAATTAATTCATCTAAGAACATTCTTAACAGGACACAATTATTATCCTATTTGTTTTCAAATATATTATTTAAGATTAATTAGTAGCTTCACTGCTAACAGTAACATCACATATTCTCTAAATTATTTAAAAAACATTTCCCCCCCAAAAAACAGTTTATATGGATGTGAAATCATCATTTGACAAATGAAAAAAATATGATGTTATAGGAATATCAAGATTCTTGCCTTTTCCTGGGTTGACTGCAGCAGGTAAATTGTCCCAATCTAGGGTCCATTTAGGGCAAGGATGAGGAGAAAATATTGCTTCAATCCCTTTTTCCTGCATTTCAAAGAAAAGAAACTATCAATTCAGAAATCTGCTAGAAAGTTCAAAATACCCTATCTGTACAGTGTAAAACATTATACATTAATGATATCCTGATATTAGTTATGATTAAAATACAGGATTATTATAGACAAGTTACTATGTTCTGTTTTTTATATCTATCAAAGTAGATGCCCCAGAAAAGATTTGCACTTGAACTAGCTAAAACTGGCACTGTTTTCTTACAACAGGAACCAAAACATTCTCTGTTCAAAAATCATTCAGCCATGAGGTTACTCTTCAAATTATGTTTCTGCTTTACAAAGTTTACAAATTAAGTTTAAAAATTTTTTTTTCCACTTAAGATAGAAATAATTATATAATTAAGCAAGTGATACATTTCTCCTCTTCAGTTATTGTACAAAATTACTATAATAAAGCAACAAACTTAAATCTATTTTCTGGTTAAAATTTCAATGTCATTGATGCAGAATACTTTTATTTTGCAGAGGATAACTTAAGAAAAAATTACAACCATTACAAACATGATAAAATATCATCAAACTATTTCCAAACTATTTTATTGGTAAGTTCTTCAAATATATGGAAATATTTTTATAGTTAATGTATCTAATCTAATAAAATAATTACCTACCATTAATTTTGTTATTGTTGGTCTTGGTCCACCTATAAACTGAATTTCCTCTCGAATGTTTTCTGACTCTTTAAAAGCTGTAGAAGTATTCTGCTGGCATTCATTTGGTAAAGGGTGTGATTGACAATTCAGGATATTTTTTATATTGCATTTGACAGTGGCTTGCTTTATTCCAGGTACATCTAGAACCCTTTTGTACCAGCTCAATATTAAAGGCAGCTGTAGTATGTTATTTTGGTGTTTCTTGCAGGCAGCCTTAAAGTGATAAATGAAAAGTTTATGCACCAATTTGATGTACAAAGAGTGCTTTTCCTACTAAATTTGCAAAACTCTTGGTTGGAATTATACTTATGTCTCACTAAATCATCCAATAATAATAATTCAACAATAATAATTCAAATACAATGATGGCTCAGGGGCACCAAAATTTTGTAGAGTTGTTTGCAAAAATGAGTCCAGTAAATGCATATTCATTCATACAATAAACGCCATTGCAAAAACCAATCCCAACCACAAAAAAATTTGCTCAAGACCAGACTTATCCATACTGCAAAGAATCCGCTCCCCTGAACTCCGCAAGGAACTCAAAAGATGTCTAGACAATGGAGAGAAGGATCTCTACATTGACTACCGCGCTGATTGTATCGAAAGTAAGTCACATAACCCACAACTCTACATCCAACCCTACCTCATCCAACCCACCATCACTCAAAACTAGGCACGCATGCCCCTAGCTATCTCAATTCCAACTACAACTGGCCTTAAATGCAAGCTACTCAATGCAAGAAGCCTTGTAAATAAAATACCTGAATTTCTCCTCTTACTAAATATGGCTAAATTCGACATCATATTTGTCTGTGAAACATGGCTCAATGCATCCCTCCCTGACTCCATTCCCACAGTAAGAGACTATCATGTTTACTGATCAGATCGTGAAATCGGTAGAAGAAGTGGTGTTGCTATGTTCTCTAAAAAGTCCCTACATCTAAAAAACATCCAAGTTACGCAGGAGCTTGCTCTTCCTGAGACCATAGTCTGTGAACTGTCCTTAAATATCACATTTCTATTTTTACTATGTTACAGAGCCCCTGATTATGACATTGAACATATAAACAAGTTATATTCACTACTAACATGGGCAACATCCTGGCCACAAGTTTTTATCTTTCTTGGTGACATCAATCAACCTCATATTAACTGGACCCTAAATGAATGAACCCATACGTGAAACCTTCTACAATGCTGTAACAAATCTGGGACTAGAACAACTAGTAACCAACAATACTAGACTTAACAACTGGCTCGATCTCATCTTCTGCAATAGTTTGAATTCAATTTACGGAATACAAATTAAAGAACTCCTTTCCAACAGTGACCACAGCATGATTGACTTTTGTCTCAACATAAGTCCACACAAAAATCAACACAACGGTGTGATCCCCAATTATAACTTCAAAAAAGGCAACTATGATCTTATAGACAACGATCTCTCATCCCTTGATTGGCAATTTCTATTCACTGGATGCAATACTGTTGGAAGACCATTACAACATATTTTTACTTGAAGTCAAAAGAGTCATCAAACTATATGTACCAATAACAACTCCCAAAACCAGAAAAAACATAGTACCCATAACAATAAAGAAGCTTCAATCCAAAAAGAGATCACTTTGGCGGAAAAACAAATCTGGTCACGTTGCTGATCCAAAAATTATGCCACCAGATAAAAACTGAATGCACTAATTATCACATTAAACAAGAGGAAAACCTTCTATGCACCAATTCCATCCACGCTTTCTACAATTTTGTAAACAGCAAACTAAAAGACTCAAGGTCCATCCCACCCCTGATAGGACCTAATGGTAAAGACTGCAATGACGACACCATTAAAGCCAACCTCTTTAGCACATTCTTTGGCTCAGTATTTGTAAACAGCAATGGATCATGCCCAGTATTTCCTAGTCGAACCATAGACAATTACAATGATCTAATACATATCGATTTTACAGAAGACAATGTTGAAAAATCACTACGCAATCTAAAACCATCTCTATCTATTGGACCGGACGGAATACGTGCCTGCTTCTTAAAAAAGCTACCCACTGCCATAGCCGAACCTCTAAGCATAATCTTTGAAAAATCTTTCAGGACCAGTTCCTTGCCAAAACTATGGTCACAAGCCACGGTCATCCCCATCTTCAAAAAGGGAGACCCCAGCCTAGTTGAAAATTATAGACAAATCTCTTTATGCTGTGTCACCTGTAAAGTCATGGAATCAATTATTAACCAATCCATCATCCTCCACTTAGAAGCTAACAGCCTACTCTCTAATAAACAATTTGGATTCAGAAAAAAACTATCCTGTAATCTGCAACTCTTACACTGCAAAAACATATGGACTATACAACTTGATCAGGGCAAAGCAATAGCCACAATCTACATAGACTTCTGTAAAGCCCTTGATTCAGTGGTACATGACAAACTACTCCTAAAACTAAAATCTTATGGTATCTCTGGACACCTGCATAACTGGATAGAAGCATTCCTGTCAAACAGACAACAAATGGTCAAAATTGGGAGCGTCCTATCAAATTCTGTACCTGTCAACAGTGGTGTCCCCCAAGACAGTGTTCTAGGACCAACTCTCTTCATACTCTACATAAATGACCTCTGTGAGCATATTAAGACCAACTGCATTCTCTTCGCTGATGATGTAAAGCTATTCAACACTACAGACAATACTGCTACCCTTCAAAAAGACCTCGACTATGTATCAGAATGGTCAAACAAATGGCAACTTCAAATCTCAACAAATAAATGCTCTGTCTTACATATTGGCAAAAAAAATAATCAGAAAATAAAATACAGGCTGAATAGTCAAGACCTTGTTGATGATCCAAACTCTGTCAAGGATCTTGGAGTACTCATCTCTAATGATTTAAGTGCTAGAGCCCACTGTCACTACATAGCCAAAAAGGCATTAAGAGTTGTTAACCTAATCTTACGTAGCTTTTTCTCTGGTAACATTACACTACTAACTAGAGCATACAAAACATTTGCTAGACCAATACTCGAATACAGCTCATCAGTCTGGAACCCTCATTACGTATCTGATATTAACACAGTTGAGAAAGTCCAGAAATATTTCACAAGAAGAGTTCTCTACTCCTCTACTCGTTGCAGAATACCTTATGCCACCGGACTTGAAATTCTAGACCTAGAAAACCTAGAACTATGCCGCCTTTGGTCCGATCGAAGTATAGTATATAAAATCATACATTGCAATGTCCTACCAGTCAATGAATACTTCAGCTTCAACCATAACAACACAAGAGCAAACAATAGATACAAACTCAAGGTTAATCGCACCAGACTTGATTGCAGGAAATACGACTTCAGCAACAGAGTGGTAAATGTCTGGAATATTCTACCTGTCTCTGTGGTTTCTTCCCCAAACCCCAAAAACTTTAACCTTAGACTGTCTACTATTGACCTCACCCCTTTCCTAAGAGGTCTGTAGGGGGCATGCATAAGCGCACCAACATGCCTCCCATCCCTGTCCTATTGTTTCTTTTATTTTTCTTATATGTATCCATGTGTTCATAACTATGTTTTTACTTATACCTATTATCTTGTAAGCAATTGACAAACCAAATAAAATAAAAATAAAAAAAATAAAATTAATACTGTTCTTGAATAAGTGCTACTGAAAGGAATAAAACAGGTATCAATATTGGTTACTAACATATGAGAGTTCATTGGATGAAATGCTGTATGGTCTAAATAGTATGAATATTTTGACTTTTATTAAAAGCATGAAATACACAACTAAAATGGACGAACAAAAAACCCTAAAAGTTTGCTTTTATATTAGAAAATAAGTAGTCATAGGAATGCATTTATGGGAAAGTTACACATGCATATTTACTGCCATGTATAAATTACGTGTTTTTTTAAAAGGCAATTGGACTGTCTTTCTTGAACTGAAGAAGCTTTTTGGATGAGAAGCAAAATGTGTTCAAAGCAAAACAACAAAGTCCAGTTTGAAAAAGCACCTTTGGGACAACCATGCCCTGGATGACTGAGAATCTCCATAGACTTATAGGAAAATGTTCATCCGTGTAACTACTTATGACTACTTATAAAATATTAGAAGTTATAAATCCTGTTTATATAAGCTGTCCCAGGCAATTGTAGACAAAGAATCTAAAATTTAGATTTCCATATATTGACCTGTGGAGTAACAGCAATTTTAAAAACACTTACTTTGAAGTTATATTTTAGTAGACTAGTATTTATCAGTCTTTACTTTCAGATGTGAATATATAGAGGGAAGAGACTATCTAACGGGTAAAGATGAACAAATCTAGGTACAGGCTACAAAGTTTGAGTGCTTCCCACCACTCATCATTGTTCAGCTTTTACTTTAAAAGAGTAGAAATAAATTATTCAGTCTTACCAAAAAATGATGGATGCATGGCAAGAGAACTATGTCTGTCAAAGTGAAATAAAGCCCTTCAGCAAATATATGCTCCAGATGCGGAAGTTCAGATGTTTTTATTTTCCTAATGTGAGATGGCTCCCTCTTGGTAGCAAGTGGCATCTTCTGCAGAGTTAGTTTAGAGAAAGCTGTCCTCAGTTCCAAATCTGCAGAACCAGGTTCCTGATTTTCCACAGTCCTAGCTTCTTTTGAGGAAATATCAGTGCTTGCTGTCTTGTCAAGCATTTTTTGCTGTTGAACTTTCTGTCTTCTAATTTTGTCATCGTTGTGCACTCTTACAGGTTCTCCCAATTTGTTTTCAAACAGCAGTATCTCTTTGGGAATATTCTGATGCGGATTATGAGATACTTTTAGAAAGTTTTCAACTGTCAGAGGAATACTGATCTCACAAAGCCTGGTCCATTCACTAACCTAGAAATAGATAAGGTTGATGCAACAGTTAAAATGCTGGATTACAACTGAGAATATTCAGTTTCTATCTCACACTCAACTAAGTAAATTCAATAGGTGACTTTGGCGTAGACATTCAGTCCAACCTACTGAAAAGTATACAGGGAAAAATGAAGGGAGGTGTAAATCATGAGATCCTGAAAAAAATATTGGATATATCATCATCATCATCCACTATCACCACCATCGATATTATAAAGAGACTGACCATGTAGCTGGGGATTAGTATGATAATAACAATCAATTGTAAAAAGTAAGCATTCTAACAAATTGATTGAAATGGCATACATAAATTATTTGTTTTTGAAGCTACAGAAATAAATCTCTACTCATATACACCGGATCAGATTCAACTGCTAGCATTGTATACCTAAAATAATTCCAAGTTTGTATTCCTCAAAAAATAGTTTTGGTTTTGCCATATAACAAACTATACTGGTTTAAATTTAAATTTAACACTTTGTTTAAATTTAAATTTAACACAAAAATAGTTTGTCGTGGAAGTGACTGCCTGTGAAGGCTCCTGGATTGGGGCAGAAAGGTAAAAGCAGAAGCAACATGCTTCGTCCCATATTTTGGTACACCAGGTTGCCTGACAGGCCTGACTCACTGGAAAAAACACATACAACAAGCTGGTTTTGAAGACTTAAAATATAACGTTAAGTCTAATATTCAAAGAAAAACAGAATTTCAGGGGATATTCTATGATAGTATAGTTAATTATTTTATACAGCTTGTTCTAGACATCTATTGATGTGCTATATAGATATATCTTTTGCTTTTATGTAATAGAAAGTAATTTAGAAATATATTTGATCTTCATTGCAAAGCACATTCAAGATTTCAGTAATAAACTCACTTCAGCACAAGCTTTCAAACAGGTCCTTTTAAAGCCCAAAAGTTCCAAAATGCCTTTGTTTGATGGATCCGCCTCATAGGTTTTCTGTACTATGTACCTCAAAACCACAGCAAGTCCTGCACGACAAAATCTTCCATCCTTTTCAACAACAGCAGGTAAACAGCAGCTTTGAACCATCACAGGAATTTCAGATCTTTTGATGAAGTTAATCTCTGGGTTCTTTGACAATATTTCTTCTGTCTGTTGTATATCAAAAGTTATTTCATTTGGAGTTACTAAAAATATCCTGAAGATCTTACAATCACAATATGCCAACAAAAACAAGGATATAGATGTGTGTAGAGGGTGGATACAGTCTTCATTGTGACCGAAATAGTCTAGATATAGGTGGTCTTCATTTTCACTTTTCATTTTTTCCTTAAAGCAAGAAATGTAATTTAAAAAAATAAGAGGTAGAAAATTATCTGTTTACAAATCAATGTACTATATTCTACAATTAGAGACCTAATGGAAAATTTGAGAGGTTTTTTAGAACATATAAATTAGAATTGATTCATGCTATGTATGGACAGCAATCCAATGCATTACTATTACAGTAATTATATTGTTTATATATTGCAAGAGCATCTCATTCAAATGCTTTTGGCAATTTTACTATAGATAAGGAATTTACATCACCTGGGAGAATGGCCAGGATGGCTGTGATATGAGTATGATCAGCCACAAAAACACATGACTGATAGGTATACTTCTTTAAATTGAGATTATGATTTGAAAAACTGCTGAGCAGTACTTCACTATTTTTATTTTATAAGAATATTCATGGAGCCTGAGAAGGAAGGAAGCATTTTTAGATATAAATAGAATGGAACCCTAACTTCATGCCAAATTTATAGCAGCTTGCTATAATTAAGATATCAATAATTATTTTAAAAATAAAATTGCCTAGAAGTAAAGGAAGTAAAGGTTTCAGAAGGGTATTTGCAGGTATACTGTGGTTGCTTACCCCAACCTATACAATACTTAAAACACTGCTCATAAAACATTCTTTAATGGTTTTTCAGAACTTCACTACACGATATTGCAATTTTAAGTACTTTAAGTCCCTATAAATATTACAGCACTTATTCATGAATAAATATGCCCAGAACTGAACAGATGAATAGCAACCCAAAGCATTTAAATTACACTAAATCAATGGAACACATTTTCAAGTAACATAAAGATGTAATACATAGGTACATGTTCTTAAAGCAGATCTTCATTATTGAATAGAATACTGTAAGAGATTCACTGATATAATTAGCAATATTAACACTAACCAGTTTCTACAAATATATTTTGAACCATAGTTTCCTTATTGGGTTTTTTCTTTTCTTGTTTAACATTGCATGCACTATGCAATTACAGTTTCTTCCCATTAAGGATATTATCATCTTACATAGATAGCTACAGCCCTAGAATAGAATAATTTATTGGCCAAGTGAGACACACAAGGAATTTGTTTTCGGTACATAAGCTCTTATTGTACATAAAAGTGAAAAATCATGATCATAGGCATCATAAAAAATATATTCATCATAAATCATAAGATACATTTAGTGATAGTCATAGGATACTAAATAAGCAATCAACATAAATCATACTAGGAAACTAAATAAAACAATATAATTCATAAAGGTATACGCAACAAAGTTATAATCATAAGTAGAAAAGGAGATAGGTAATACGAAAGTTGAGAAAAATATTAATACAGTCTTACTAAATAGTTTAAGTGTTGTGGGACTTAGTTGCTGTACACTACATAGCTTACCCCAATAAGTATGAACTCAGCCAATGAGATTTTAATTATTATTCTGGCAATTTTATGCTGTGTCCTCAGGAATTATCAGGTGTGAATTTTAACTTTACTTCAATCTGAACCCACAATCTCATTTGAAAAGAAAAATACATTCTTAATGTGTGTTCTTAATCTTGGCTGATATGGAAAACAGGATCAGAGCCAGTCATTATCTGGATGGGTGACCACTAAGAATTCTTGCAACTATCAGCTAGACTAGAAAGAGCTTTTTAAAAAGAAAAAAGAAAGATAAGAGCAATAACAATTTTTCTTGCAAAAAAAAAAAAGTAAAGGTAGAACGCATGAGGTCTGCTCAAAGGAGACATTACCTACATAACACACACACACACACAAAACCCAGACGGCTATAGAAAGGAAATACTGTAGCCGCAGATAATTGAAAATAAGAAATTAGATTTTAAGTTCCATTTTATACTCCCACTAGCCTCAAACATGCAGACAACAAAGGAAATAAAGCACATTCATGCTTCTTTTTATCAGGGATGGCAAGACTGATCCCGGTTGGGCAACCATCTGTCTGGAATGGTACACGGTCTCCTGCGCGAGCAGGAGGTTGGACTGGACTAGAGGACCTCCGAGGTCCCTTCCCATCCTATGACTCTCTTCTACATGGTTTTAAAAAGTATTTTATTATTATTATTATTCCGAATGACATGTGGCGATAGGCGGGGGTGTTCAGGTGTCCAGGAGCCTCCTAACCAAGCAGCCGTCCAGGCTCTTCAGTTCCCAACTCTGAACCGGGACGGCGGGAGGAGGGGGGCAGCGAAACGCTTCCCTCCCGCCGGGTATTCCTTACCTAACGGCTTCTCGTCCCTCCCGAAGCTCCACCCCTTCCTCCGCTTTGTCCGGGTTGGAGATCACCGCTTCCGGCGCCAGGACGAGGAAGTGCGGCCAACCGGCATCGGCGGGGAACTTCCCAAAGCGGTAACCTGCCGGAGGCGGCCGATCGCGGTTTGGGCGGGAAAAAAGCGGGCGGCCTTTGTAGCGTTCCCTTAAATCAGCGACGCCTGAGGCGTTGGAGGGGTTAGGAGTAGCCGCAGGCGTGGGAACGGCGCGAAGTCTCGGTCCGCTTCTGCGGTCGCTGCCCCTGCCTTGTTATGAATGAAAATGGTTCTTTTTATTATTATTGTTACTGTTGTACCCGCGATGGGTAATGAACATGGCAGCAGAAAGGCGTGGAAAAATGTCCCTTTTGGGGGAGATTGACAGGTGTCTGGGGATAAACCAAAGGTTATTTGGCCCTTATGAGAACAGTCTTAATGTGGGTTTGTTCAGCATCTTGGGTCAATCCAGCCCTTTGTTTTATTAGACAGCGTTTCTGGCTTGGCACAAGAGGAGAATCCAGACCAGCTTTTAAGATGTATTATGGTTAACCAGGCTGGGAATCGGAAAGGGGAAATATCCCTCCCCCTCAAATAGTAGATATTATGAAATGAAAAATGATAATATTTCTATTATGGAATCTTAAGTGATGGTGAGATTAGCAAAATGTACAAATATATAAAGTGGCTGCAATTCCCTCAAACCATGAGCAATCCCACTTTTCAGAGTTTAGAACAAGTCAGGAGGGAACTGTCAAATTTCTGCTGTTCTGTAACTGAAACTTTTGAAAAGCTTAATAAGCATTCAGATTCTGTGGCAGCTCTAACCCCAAAACAGATGTGAGATAAAATGCATTGCAAGTGATTTTCTTTATGGCAAGACCAAGTGTTGTATGTGCATATTTCACACTTATGAATGCATTGCTAACTCTAGCTCCCAGATGAGTCTTCACTGAGGCTGTCTTAGCTTCTGAAATCAACATTGGGTTTCTTAAATTTATAAAATCAGAAATTGTATCTGAACTGAAGAATTACTTGCTTGCATTAGTTTAAGCTGTAAAAAGTAAAGTAACGGAAGAAACCTGCTTTTCTTCAAACAGACAACCTGGAATGATTTTATTAATGTAATTGTTTCCAAACTCTCTAAAAAACATGTGAGATCTGAAGGCCAAATGCATACTTGAAATGGATATTTTCTTTTTTAGTTAAAGATTCTACTATGGCCGCTACTGTGAATTTGGAACTTGATCCTGTATTCTTGAAAGCTTTGGGCTTCTTGCATTCAAAGAGCAAAGATTCTGCTGAAAAGTTAAAGGCACTTCTTGATGAATCTTTGTCTAGGGGCATTGATTCATGTTATCGTCCACAACAAAAGGTACTGAAATTTATGAATAAAAATTATATGTTGTCTTAAGTGGCATATATTGTAACAATAAATGAGACCCATTGTGATTTAGCAGTTAAAGGTGCTAGACTAGAAGCAGGAGATTATTAGTTCTAATGCTACTTTAGACCTAAAGCCAGTTAGATGACTTTGAGCCAGTTATGTACTCTCAGCTGTAGGAAGGAGGAAATGACAAACCATTTTTAAAAATCCTTCAAGAAAACTGCAGAGACTAGTTCAGGAAGTCTCCAAGAATCAATATTGATTCAAAGATGGATAAATAACATGCCCTGTCCTATGCTATGTTTTCTTATCCTCCTGACTTTATCCAGAATATACTCTAGCCATGTTAAAGGACCTGGTTTAAGACAAATTATTCTAAATATGATAGGTCTATTTATTACCTATTTCAGAAGTTGATCTGATTTACATATCACACTAATTCAACCTTTTTTAAAAATGTTAATTAGGAAAGTTCTCTGAACACAACAATTTTTATTTATCCATGTACAGTATATCAACCTTGTATTTGTGAGATGTGTTTATTATCTCCAGTTTTACTCTTAATGTAACATTTTGTGCATTTTTCAGGAAGTAGATCAGCCCAAAGTATCCATTCCAAAACCAGTTTCTGTTAAGACTGCTCCAAGCCTCCCTACAAGTAACAATAATGGGAAACCCACTGTAGTTGAAAAGGTGAAAAAAGAGGTGGAAAAGAGGATTGTGGATAAGGTAAGTTCCCTTGTTACACTTTGAACATTACATCCATTCCTTATTTAGTAACCTAGTTCCATTCCAGCAATCAGGTTGTAAGCAGAATGGCTGCTAAGTGACCATGAGAGAGAGAGAAAATGCTATAAAGATCACTGGTTTCTGCCTCCTCGTTCATTTAAAGCTCTCTCACACACTTATGCCAGCATTACTCTCACTCTGTTGTTAGGCACCCAAAATGAGCATATTGGCCAGAAAATTTTTATTACCGTTGTATTTGCAAATGGTCACTAAATGCTAAATAAGTGGGTATATTGAGGAAAGAGGTTCCAATAAAGTTACATATTTTAAAAAATAAAAATATTTTGCTAGCTTTCAATCAGAGGTTTTCAACCGCTGTATCATGCACATTTGTGTGCCACAAAAAGTCCACGAGCACTTCAGTGAGCCAAAATATATAACTGGAAATGCTATGCACGGAGAATCCTGTTCCGTGACATTACTGGGATGGACCCTCTATTTCACAACCTGGAAGTACTACCTATAAGATATGTGTATGAGATGAAAGAGACTGAAAACTACAGTACTGCTTTAAATATATATTTTTGTTTTGCAAACTATGTCATATGGAAACTATGTCATTCCCGTAAGTTATGTAACAATAGTTAATTTATTTCAGAAAAATAGAGCGTGCTTTCCTCTGCCAGTCATTTGGGTTTTAAAGGGTGTTCTTCTCCTTATCTACAAGTTATACTTTGTTCCTTTTCAATGATTAAGAGAACATGTTACTTTATTCAAACTGTGTTTATTTAGTCTTCCCTTGCAATTTCACTTTGTTATTTTAACAGCAGACTTTCAACTTAATAAAAGACTAATTAAATTATTTTGTCTAATATGGTGGTTCCTTGATTGGTATTAATCCTGATGCTAATCTCTGCTTAAATGAGTGTTGATTGCTGGTGAAAAACTGCTGTGGTCTTGTAGCTTTCTGGCTGTCCCATTTGAATGATGTGTAGAGGTAGTTTATTCCCATGTGCTTGTTGATAGCTGATTTATCAGAGTGTCAGGCTTCCCAGAATTCTGTAGTGTTTTACACATAGTGGCACAGTGGCACTGTTGCAAGCCTTACACAGTATATTGTAAAATGACTTTTTTTCTGGGGCTGTTGGGTCTTTTGGATTCATCTATTATTAGCACCACATACATCTTCAGTTTTCCTTATCGGTGAGAGGGATGGCATATAAATTTAATAAATAAAAATAAATACTTGTACCCTTTTGTTCCTTTGTTATCAGCAGCTTTTTTTATCTTATATAGAATATTTTTCTTTCCCCTAAACAGAAATAATTACTTGTTACAAATATGTAACATATGTATTTGTTCAAAGTTTACATTTTGTTCGTTATGTAACTATCATTTGCTAGATAAAAGTGGAAATCATTGAAGGAATTGAAGCAAAAAAACCAAGACTAGAAAAGCCAGAAGCTCATGCCTCATCAATCACAGTGCAGACAAGCAAGGATTTGCCCATGGCAGACCTTTCTAGTTTTGAAGAAACTAGTGCTGATGATTTTGCAATGGAGATGGGTCTGGCTTGTGTTGTTTGCAGGTAAGTTTTTTAAATTTAGTAGTTATAGCATATATGAAGGCCACAATTAAATATTAATTGTAAGTTGAACCTTTTATCTAAATAGAGAACTTGATTCCTTCAACCAGGGGTGTCAAATTGAAGGTCCGTGGGCTGAATCCAGCCGGGGGGGAGGGGGTGCTTAAATCTGGCCTGTGGGGCTGGCATGGAAATATCAAAGGACCGGTCTACAGGGAGGCCGTGTGCAGCTCCCGCACGGTCCATTTTTGGCCTCCCCAGCCTCCTGCAGCAATCTGCTGGCCAAAATGGGCTGCACAGGATTTTTTCAGCCGGCAGAGGCCTGCAGGAGGCTGGGGAGGCCAAAACCGGGCTACGCAGCAGCTGCACAGGGCCTCTACACGGCCCGTTTTTGGCCAGCAGAGGGCTGCAGGAGGACTGGACTGCAGGAGGACTGGATTACAATTATGTGGCCTCAAGTAAGTGCCTGATCTGGATAGAAAACAAGCAACATCCTATGTTAATATTGAGGTTTAATGCCAGATTTTACATACTGTAGGTCCATTTAATCTACAATCAACAATCTATAATTGACAGCCATTTCTATTTACTATCCTGGAAATTTACCTCTGATGTTAGATCTTGTATTATCATATTATTTATGTTATTGTATTTTTATTTTTAGTTGAATAATAAAAATATAATAGTATAAATAGCTTTCTTGACTGGAAAAGCAATTTATTATTAAATTATAGGATATAAATTTAGAAATAAAAAGTTTAGTAGAGTATAAAGAATAAGTAATAAATGTTTGCCAGTAATACCTGGTAGAAGAGATAGGAAAATGGTTATAGTAAAAAACGATGGAAAGAAAGAATGGAAAGAAAGAAATGCATCTTGACCCTGTGACAAACGGCCACCATGGCCATGCCCACCTTTGGCCACACACCACCACCCAGCCCTCCAAGGTCAAACACAACCCTGATGAGGCCCTTAATGAAATTGAGTTTGGCACCCATGCATTATGTGTATCTGCAGCACATCTGTTAGAAAAGGAGTGTCAAACTCGCAGCCTACGGGCTGGATGCATCACGTGCTGGCTCCACTCCTACCCAGTTTAGCGAAGGAGAAAAAAGTCCCAATACGTCATATGATGCCACCGTGATGCCGTGAGTTTGATACCCCTGAATATCTTCTGATATTCACCTTCCATGGCAGTGAGATTGTAAATACAATACTTACCAAAAGGTAACGTTTATACATAGAAAGGTACCTAATCGTAACTTATATTTTAACTTGTCTTCAGGATTTATGACCATTTTAATTG